GAGGCTCACTGCAGCCTCGACCTCCTGGACTCAAGTGATCCTCCCACCTCAGCCTCCCAAGTAGCTGGGAGCATAGGCATGTGCCATCATGCATGGTTAATTTTTTATTTTTTGTAGAGACAGGGGTCTCACTATGTTGCCCAGGCTGGTCTCAAACTCCTAGGCTCAAGCAATCCTCCCTCCTCAGCCTCCCAAAGTGCTGTGATTACACGTGTTAGCCACTGCACCTGGCCAAAAGAAGTGACTTTAAAGCAGAGTCTTGAAAACACAGCAGGATTTCAGGAAAAATAAATAGCAAATGGAAGTAATTGAAGTTTATAATTGATTGGCTAGTGTTTTTGTGGACCTATACATACTTTATTGTTGCTGGAACCTAAAGTTCCAAGGAGGAAGTGGAAGGTGATAAGGCAAGAGAGATAGACAGAGGCCAGTTTATAAACAGCCATATAGGATGTGCTTCTAGGGAGTTTGATGTTTATCCTACAGGCCATGAAAAACTAATGAAGGACTTTAGAAGGGAGGTAATATGCCCTTACTTGCATTTTGAAAGGTTTGTTCTTTCTAAGGCTATAGCAGCGGAGATACAAATGAGGGGACAGCTTTGAGAGCTATCAGGACATGCCTGGTCTTCTTTTAACAAAAGTAAAATGACAGGGTCATCATTCTTTATATAAATCATTGATTTCAAAAATTTCTACAGGCCAGGTGCAGTGGCTCATGCTTGTAATCCCAGCACTTTGGGAGGCCAAGGCAGACGGATCACTTGAGCTTAGGAGTTTGAGACCAGCTTGGGCAACATAGGGAGACCCCCAATTCTACAAAAAATATAAAAATTAACCGGTGTAGGGGTATATCCTTGTAGGCCCAGCTACTCAGGAGGCTGAGATGGGAGGATTGGCAGATCTGGAAGGTCAAGGCTGAAGTGAGCCATGATTGTGCCACTGCACTCCACCCGGCATGACAGAATAAGACCTTGTCTCAAAAAAATAGAAAAAGAAAAAAAGAAAGTCTATGCTTTTAAACATTCCCTCCACACTTATAAACCATAGAACCTGATTTAGAACTTTCATATCTCACTTCAAATCTCTTTAATGTTTTTGTTTTCAACCCACAACACAGCCAGTTGAGAAGATCTATTTGATCTCCATCTTCAAAAACTTAATTCTAATAAGTAAGATTTTTTTAGCCTCAGTAATACACTGGCAAATGCTGAACAACCAGCTCTTCTGGAGGAGGAAACCCTGATTGGTATTGTTTTCCAGTTTCTGTAGTGTAAATACTCCTGTCGTAACTGTTTTCAAGCTACTAATGTGACATCACTGAGCAGGAGTTGAGAAGACGAGCAATATTACATTATTAGATAGAATTCCCATGTTACAGACACAATAGAGGTGAACAACTCAAGAGCATAGACAGTAATATACAGTAAAATAATTAGGAAATGGTGAGGTTTGAGTACATATTACCTTTGTTTTTAATATAATATACTTGATTGTAAGTCTATATAATCTAATTTTTAGTAATAGCTGTATTTAATAACCACCAAAATTCTTTTTTTTTTAAATACTAGTTCTAGGGTACATGTACACAACATACAGGTTTGTTACATAGGTATACATGTGCCATGTTGGTTTGCTGCACCCATTAACTCATCATTTACATTAGGTATTTCTCCTAATGTTATCCCTCTCGCTCCCGGCCACCCTACCACAGGCCCCGGGGTGCGATGTTCCCCGCCCTGTGTCCAAGTGTTCTCATTGTTCAATTCCCACCTATGAGTGAGAACATGTGGTGTTTAATAACCACCAAAATTCTTAAAAATAGTCAGTGCTTGGGAGTCAATGCAAGCTTGCTCAAGGCATCACTGCACATACTCCTCTTTTCTAAATAATTGAAATGATATTTATTAATCCAATTTTCACTATTTAATTCTCATACATAAAGTAGAAAAGTCTGTAGGCAAAGCACTGGAGAAAAGGTAATACCACCTGAGGAGTGGTATGATGTATAAAAATAAATGATAAACCCATTAAGGGTTTTAAAATCTACTCTGTTTTGCATACTTATCATTATGTGAGTATATTGAAATAACGTAAAAGATAATCAGTTTCATTTTTAGTATTGATCAAAATTATAAGTCGTAGATTTTAGTTTTAACTTTAGCTAGCTAGCTCATAAATAGTAAATTATGTAAGTAAACAATGAAATTATTTAAGACCTGCATAAACTATGACTGTGTGAGTGCTAGAGTGCAACATTATCTATCAAATGCCTTCAAAATGTACTTTCTGTTAAAACATCTCTGAAAGGAAAACAGAAAAGCAACAGCAACTTTTGATGAATTATCTGAAAGAGTGCACATAACATCCCACCAAGAAACAACGGCAGATCCCCATTAGGGCAAAAAAGGCAGTTGGAAGTATGTGGGTTCACATCTGAGCAGATGCGTCCCAAACCGCAAATGTCTGAGCTACAGCCAGAGAGAACACACTGACATATGCTGTAGCTCGTCCCTCTTCTACCACCATAGGAAAAAAAGAACTGCCAAAGATCCCACTCAGACTTCTCAATTCTCCAGAATTGATGCCATGGGAAAACCAGGAGGTAATGTGGGAGTGGGAACCAGACAGAGCTGGGTGGAATCCTGGTTTTGCCTCATACCAGTTGCTTGTTTTGGGGGGCAAGTCACTTAAGTTCTTTGAACCTCAGTTTCCCAAAATATAAATAGGAGAAGGGAATATCTTATCAAGTGCTATTGAAGACATACAAAGTACTTCACATAACAAGTGGTAGACAGATGTTATGAAAACACAATCACACAACAACAATAAAACCACCTTGGGATGTATGAAGATGGTTTTCCTTTTTTCCTGCCCACCCAGGCATCATTAGCTACTTTGAAGATAGCAAAGAAGGTTTCTAGGCTGTTAGATTAGCTCTTCTGGTTTTATTCTTAATATGACTCAGGTTAGAGAATCTTCTCTTTATCTCTTTCTTTCCTTCCTCCTCTTATTCAACAAATATTTTTTACTGTGTCAGAAACTGTGCTAAGCTCTAAGCACACAATGTTCAGGAAGAATAGTAACAGGCATAGTAGAAGTGGTAACAACAATAGCTAACTTTTATTAAGCACTGACTGTTGAATAAAAGACATCTAGGCCAGGAGCAGTGGTTCACGCCTGTAATCCCAGCATTTTGGGAGGCCAAGGCGGGCAGATCATGAGGTCATAAGTTCGAGACCAGCCAGGCCAATGTGGTGAAACCCTGTCTCCACTAAAGATACAAAAAATTAGCCAGGTGTGGTGGCATGTACCTGTAATCCCAGCTACTCAGGAGGCTGAGGCAGGAGAATTGCTTGAACCTGGGAGGTGGAATTGCAGTGAGCCATGCACTCCCGCCTGGATGACAGGGTGAGACTCCAACTCAAAAAAAAAAAAAAAAAAGACATCCATGTCTGCCTTTACCTAATTGACAGTCTGGTATAGGGAAACATATTTACATAATCGCTCAAGACCAGAAATTTCGCATGTGACATATTTTTCTCAGTTTTTTTGATACAGGACACTAAGGCTGTATGAAACCTAAATGCTGGTAAACCAATTTGGAACCAAAGCTCAATACTAAGAAGTTAAATTAAAATTATTCTTTACTTTCTGCTGAATAATTTTGCTTAAGTGTTTTTGGGGGCAAAATACAAAACCTATACTGAATAAAGAAGAGATTGGTGAAAAATATGTGGTTAGAGAAAGGGAGTAAGAATATTACAGATAAGTGATTCAGGAATAATTAGGATATAATTAATTGAAAGTTAATAATACAATTGCAAGGTAGGGTTTGGGCTTTTTAACCTATAAAACAATTTGGATTCCTGAAATCAGCTGTCACCTAAGATAGGCAATGGACGTTTTCTTTTTAAACTTTGCGTTTGTTCCTAATCTTCCCACTTTCCACCAAGTGACAACAAATTTTGTCTCAGTGACTGATTCCCAGCCTGGGATCTACAAGTGTGGTAATGGAAGTCTGTAGGCCATTTAATAGTTGAAAAACACCAACAGGTTTAAATTTACCTGCAATAAGGCTACACAAACTAATTCAAATGCTATGTTTCTCTGCTTTCATGAGAAATTGCATCAAGTTATTGCAGGAACTAGTTATCTTAGGCAGATTAGCTATTGATGGCATCATGGAATTTGTTGATGAAATATCGTTTTAAAAGATGGGGCCCATGTTGCGGGAGGTATTGTAATAAGAGGTCTCTGGTTCTGAAAAGCTTAGGCTCCCTAGTTTAGTTAAGAAATATGTTATGGCGGGGACTGGTGGCTCATGCCTGTAGCCCCAGTACTTGGGAAGGCTGACGCAGGAGGACTGCTTGAGCCCAAGAGTTAGAGCCTGGGCAGCATAGTGAGACCTCATCTCAAAACGAAAACAAAAACAAAAACAAAGTGTATTATGTTGAAAACAAAAAGAACTTGGCTAGTTAATCCAGCAGTATTCTGCAGGAATAATTTATGAGGGAAAAAAACGCAAATTTCCATATTAATGTACATTTCCCTAGAGAGAATAGAGTGTTTTGCAAACACATTTGTATCTCAAAAATGCATGTAGTTCCATAAAAGACCATTTTAACAGCCTTTATATTTTGTAAGGGATGTTATTACTAGGTGTTATATCTTGGACTTCTGGAGATCACATGGAAAAGTTAGAATTGCATTGTGACTTTAACTTTCATTCAGGGTTTCAATGGACATTAAAAAGGCAAAACACTTACTGTTCAGCCTCTTTTTTAGTGCGTTTTTCTATTCTTAAGGTGTGTCTCACATGAGATGTTCTTAAATTGTCCACTGGAATCTCAGCCTTTTATATTACACATCTGCAGAAGCCAAAAATAATTTGACGCATGACTTTTCCCCCCAGAGTTTCTTACTATATTTACTGGTAAACTATTTTGGTAACTTATATTAACAATTATAAAGATTAATATGTAATATGTTCTCATACAGAATTATGAAATTTCATGTTGCAAAACGGAAGTTTAAGGAAACATTACGTCCATATGATGTAAAAGATGTCATTGAACAATATTCTGCTGGTCATCTGGACATGTTGTGTAGAATCAAAAGCCTTCAAACACGGTAAGCAAAGAAAATGTCATTCCTTGTAAAGGAATGGGCATAGAAACTCTCTAGGAAGAACTTCTCTTTAGTAGAGTAAACCTCTGAACTCCATATTTTTAGTTCATTTTTAGTGGGCAAATGGAATTTGCTTTTAACATTGATTTTATTTTGCTTTTAACATAGATATAACTCAGGCATTCAAAGCATCCAACTGTCTCATTTTCCTCATCTGTAAAAATGGAAAGAAAGTTAGTTCTTGCCTCATAGGGTTGTCATGAGGATTGAATGAGTTAATGCATGTAATTCATAACATGTAACAGACCTGGCACTGTGCCTAATAAACATCAATGGTTGTTACTGATGTTTGAATTATTACTGCTGCTCCTAAATTATCTAAATTCCATTTATTATCTAAATTCTAATCGTCCTTTGGGAATAACGTAGTATGTGTCCTTCATTAAGTTTCATCCAACCATCCAACCTGTGAAGACAGGCCTTTCTCTGACCTTTATACAGTAGTAGAGTCTACTGCAGAGCACAAGAGCACTCAGAATCTTGGTGTGCTGGGCCAAAGTTGAGACTTGGCCCTTGTGTTGTTTCCCGGTCACAAGTGTGTTCACCTTGCTGTGGGCTAAGATTGAGCTCTTTCCTTCATTCATGTCCTGTATGGCTCTAGATATATAGTATCCTTCTAGTAGCATCTTATTGAGTGATTAAAAGAAATGAATTCCATATATTAATTCCAACCACATATAGTTGATTGTGATTATCTCATAGCCAAAATATTTAGTAAGTTCAGTTTTTGAAGAGCCTTGCTTTATTATCAGCACAAATCACCAGCATTTGTGATTGTATAGTGCCCAAAATGCAAGGACTGAGTCTTGAACTTTTTTTATGTCCCCACAGCACACTTAGCCCAATGTGAGGCATAGAATGGGCCCTTAGTAAAATACCTGTTCATCAATTGCTATAGAAATAACAATTTGTTAATTCATTCAGCAGGTAATTATTGAGCCCATCGTGTGTGCCAGGACCTGTGGACGTCCAGAGACTGATAAAATAATGACCCAGACTTTGTAGTTTGCAGTTTAGTAGATTAGATGTCATGGCAGGAAGTGAGTACTGCCTATGTTTCTCTGCAGACAAAGTAAACTGGAAAATTGTCAATACTCTTGATAATTCAATTCTAAACACAAACAAAAAAAGAAGAAAGTGATTCTCATTTAGGCTGATCAAGTTTTCTTGGAAATTGCTTTAGTTCATTCTGTAACATCTGTAACACGACCAGAGATTGTGGTCATATTACAATCTCTGCCTAGATGGCCATGGCCTTCTAAGTTCTTTAATAAAACTGTCTATGACTCCCAAGGTTTTATAAAGTTGAACTGCTACAGAATTTATAGAACCAATCTTGGGTTTCTAGCTCATGTATTTTCTCCAACTTGAATTCCAAAAGAAAAAGACCATAGCTTTCTTATCTGCTTATCTTTCACATAAGTATAATAAATGCTCAGAGACTAATCTGTTCTATTAATGTAAGATAACTATAGTTATGATTTTTGTCATATTTTGAAATGGTTAAATTCAGGAACTGCCTGATCAGAGATAGAAACATATTACTTTGTAGTTTAGGACACTTTTACTCCAGAAGATCACCCGTAAGTGATTTTATCTTGGACCAGAATAATGAGAAAATTAATCTCATGTGTAATCTCATGTTAAAACAAGCATATCAACTGGAAGAAGTTCTTTCTTATTTCATCTTACATAAATTGAAAATAACTGTTTTTAATTTTTTTTTCCAAAACTCTTCATTCTGGCCTAGGGCAATCTCCACCTTCAGCCCTCATAATCAGATCTCCTCTTTCTCTGATAGTGTTGATCAAATTCTTGGAAAAGGGCAAATCACATCAGATAAGAAGAGCCGAGAGAAAATAACAGCAGAACATGAGACCACAGATGATCTCAGTATGCTCGGTCGGGTGGTCAAGGTTGAAAAACAGGTACAACTCAACTACGCTGGGTAACTTTTTAGCCAGAATTTTTTAAATCAAAATGTATTGCCGGGCGCAGTAGCTCACGCCTGTAATCCCAGCACTTTGGGAGGCCAAGGCGGGCAGATCACGAGGTCAGGAGATCAAGACCATCCTGGCTAACACAGTGAAACCCCATGTCTACTAAAAATACAAAAAATTAGCCGGGCGTGGTGGTGCATGCCTGTATTCCCAGCTACTGGGAGGCTGAAGCAGGAGAATGGCGTGAACCCGAGAGGCGGAGCTTGCAGTGAGCCGAGATGGTGCCACTGCACTCCAGCCTGGGCGACAAAGCGAGACTCCGTCTCAAAAAAAAATAAAAATAAATAAATTTTATTATAGGCAATTGTATGTATTACAGTGATTATTTTAAAATAAATAAAATCACAAAATAGTGAATAAAATTAAATGTTCTTTGTGTGTAGATAGTGCTCTCTGAAATACTTTGGATTTCCATTTAAGGAATAGAAAATTTCATCTCATCAATTAATAGTTAATTGGAACCAACTGTAGATTTCCAATAGTTGAAAATTGTTTAAAAATAACAAAGATCTATTCTTCATTTGTGTTTTGGTTGTTTTTATTGTTTCTTTTTTTGGGTCACTACTTTTCTCTTTTTTTTTTTTTTTTTTTTTTTTTTGAGAGAGTCTCACTCTATTGCCCAGGCTGGAGTGTAGTGGCGTGTTCTCGGCTCACTGCAAACTTCGCCTCCCAGGTTCAAGTGATTCTTGTGCCTCAGCCTCCCAAGTAGATGGGATTACAGGCATGTGCCACCACACCCGGCTAATTTTTGTATTTTTAGTAGAGACAGATTTCACCATGTTGGCCAGGCTTGTCTCAAACTCCTGACCTCAGGTGATCCACTTGCCTCGGCCTCCCAAAGTGCTGGGATTACAGGCAAGGGCCACAGCACTCATCAGGTCACTCCTTCTAAAAATAAAACAAGGCCGGGTGTGGTGGCTCATGCCTGTAATCCCAGCACTTTTGGAGGCCGAGGCGGGCAGATCACAAGGTCAGGAGTTCAAGACCAACCTGACCAACATGGTGAAACCCCGTCTCTACTAAAAATAAAATAAAATAAATAAAACCTTATTATAATTCTGATGACACATTGAATGTTTGTTAACCTCGAGTCTGTTGTATCTTCATATAAAAAGACAATTTTCCAGAAATCAAATGGCTCCCCCAATTTAATCGAAAATACTTCATGTATTAATTCTGGAGCATTTTGTACCTTTTTTTTAATATACCTTTAAATTCAGAATCAACTAGAGTGATACTTAACGTCTTGATTTCATTATAGAATAAGTTCCTTACTAGACTTCTGTAGTTTCAGAATGTCTTCATAGAGGAGACTTAGGAAAGACAATCTGGCGTGAATGGGAAGTCTTTTTTTTTCTTTTTCCAGACAGGGACTTCTCTGTCACCCAGGCTGGAGTGCAGTGGCACAATCATGGCTTACTGCAGCCTCTACCTCCTGGGCTCAGTCAATCCTCCCAATTCAGTCTTCCTAGTAGCTGGGACTACGGGCAAGCACCACCACACCTGGCTGATTTTTGTATTATTTTTGGTAGAGACAAGGTCTCACCATGTTGCCCAGGCTGGTCTCAAACTCCTGGGCTCAAGTGATTCTCCTGCCTCAGTCTCCCAAAGTGCTGGCATTACAGGCGTGAGCCACTGCACCCAGCCTGGAATGGAAAGTCTTAAAGTTGTATTTCTATAGTGCTTATATGACTTTTGAGAGGCACTATTTAAAGAAGTGGCGGCGGGAGAGATGCTAATAAAGACTATATAGAAGCCAAAGTGTCCCTATCTTCCTAAGTCCTCCTCTGACCCCATCATTGCTAAATGCTACATTCACTAAAGGTCAAGACTGCATCGTACTTTATGTTCAATATTTCTTTAAATGTGTTGGCACATTTAGAACTAAAAAATGAAGTCCATTCCTAATAACAGATTATACTCATGTGTAACCATTTTCCTCACTTCTAGGTACAGTCCATAGAGTCCAAGCTGGACTGCCTACTAGACATCTATCAACAGGTCCTTCGGAAAGGCTCTGCCTCAGCCCTCGCTTTGGCTTCATTCCAGATCCCACCTTTTGAATGTGAACAGACATCTGACTATCAAAGCCCCGTGGATAGCAAAGATCTTTCGGGTTCTACACAAAATAGTGGCTGCTTATCCAGATCAACTAGTGCCAACATCTCAAGAGGCCTGCAGTTCATTCTGACGCCAAATGAGTTCAGTGCCCAGACTTTCTACGCGCTTAGCCCTACTATGCACAGTCAAGCAACACAGGTGCCAATGAGTCAAAGCGATGGCTCAGCAGTGGCAGCCACCAATACCGTTGCAAACCAAATAAACACGGCACCCAAGCCAGCAGCCCCAACAACTTTACAGATCCCACCTCCTCTCCCAGCCATCAAGCATCTGCCCAGGCCAGAAACTCTGCACCCAAACCCTGCAGGCTTACAGGAAAGCATTTCTGACGTCACCACCTGCCTTGTTGCCTCCAAGGAAAATGTTCAGGTTGCACAGGCAAATCTCGCCAAGGACCGTTCTATGAGGAAAAGCTTTGACATGGGAGGAGAAACTCTGTTGTCTGTCTGTCCCATGGTGCCAAAGGACTTGGGCAAATCTTTGTCTGTGCAAAACCTGATCAGGTCGACCGAGGAACTGAATATACAACTTTCAGGGAGTGAGTCAAGTGGCTCCAGAGGCAGCCAAGATTTTTACCCCAAATGGAGGGAATCCAAATTGTTTATAACTGATGAAGAGGTGGGTCCTGAAGAGACAGAGACAGACACTTTTGATGCCGCACCGCAGCCTGCCAGGGAAGCTGCCTTCGCATCAGACTCTCTAAGGACTGGAAGGTCACGATCATCTCAGAGCATTTGTAAGGCAGGAGAAAGTACAGATGCCCTCAGCTTGCCTCATGTCAAACTGAAATAAGTTCTTCATTTTCTTTCCAGGCATAGCAGTTCCTTTAGCCATACATATCATTGCATGAACTATTTCGAAAGCCCTTCTAAAAAGTTGAAATTGCAAGAATCAGGAAGAACATGAAAGGCAGTTTATAAGCCCGTTATCTTTTAATTGCATGAAAATGCATGTTTAGGGATGGCTAAAATTCCAAGGTGCATCAACATTAACCCACTCATTTAGTAATGTACCTTGAGTTAAAAAGCCTGAGAAACCAAACACAGCTAATGCTATAGGGTGTATGAATATGTCAAGTTTAGGTCATTTAGAAGATTTGACACTGTATTTTGAAATTATGGGAGTAAACACCTTCAAATTTCAGGCATTTCTGCTTTGTGACTAAATACAAACTACATTTTCAAGATTAGGCCATAATGTATATTTAAACACAATAGCTATCAACAGCTGCTAATAAGGTATCAACTAAAGCAGAATTGGGGAACAATAGAAATGGCTGCTTATTCAAGATATATTTGCCAACCCGTTCCTATTCAGTCATTTTATTATTAATGTAATTTGAATGTCAATTTTGTGCTTTTGGTGATTTAGCGCTGTGGCAAGCAATTTTGCACATCATTTTCATGTTGTTCTTTATGACAAGAATGTTCTTCAATTAGAAAATGTGCAAATAATGAAATTCAGGGCCAGTGGGGCAAATAGACTATCTGACATATTTGACTTTATGAAAACGTATTCCCTGATGGCAGAATCAACTTTATAAGTGGTCAACTTCTACACAAGCATATGAAATACTGGTCAGTAGAACAGCCATTGTGATTGGACTGGTTTCTCTGCAGTGGCGCCAACCCCAGGCTTGCCAGTACTGCCCATGTAAAGGGCAAGTGTGAGAAGCTATTCTCATTTTGCTGACATACAGGTAGGACCCTGGGGGACAGGACATTTGAGTGGGACTGAGATAGGAAAGGCTTGAAAAGAATCCAGAAACACCACCAGGAAGTTGGCAAAGTAAAAGAAAATGACTTCCCCCTCAAAGGGCATGAGAGGGAGAGAAACAAACCAAAATAGAAGAACTAGACTTTTTAGAAAATGAGTATTGCTAGGGAATTCAACTACCTAATCTTCCCTTATTCTTATATATAAGCAGAGAATTTTTGCAAGGTATTTATTTTTTAATATGCCCTGAATGTCTTTTGCTATTATGTGTACATTTTGCATATGAAAGTCTAAGACGAAACTTCCTTTACTTTTTATACTGTAGTGAAAATTTTCTATTCTTCCCAAGAATATTGTCCCAAATCTGAAATTACTGGTTCAATTTCCTGATATAAACATTTACAATTAGAAGCTAGATAGTACTGGCAGGGTCTGCACATCAGAACTTAAATATATCACAGCAGCAAAAAGACCAAGGGAAACAAAACGACAAATGTATTTATCAGAAAGCAAGCAATGCTGACTGCTTGTTAGAAACCCGTCTAGCTATCTTAGGTCGTCAGAACTTCAGCCAACATAATGACATTCAAAAGAAAAGAACATAAGAGATAGCATCAATTCAATTAAACCCTAGCCACAGGAGGATTCAAGAAAGGAAGTTGTTTCCTTGGCAGACATTAATGCTGCCCCCAGAAGTACTTCTCCAGCAGCCAAGCAGATGATCAGGGTTATCAAGTGGATGTTCAAAGGAAGAAGGAGGCCCTGAACTCCACCAATCCTCCCCAGTCCTCCCCAGCCCTCCCCAACAGGTTTTCTCCATCATTGACTCTCCCCTGCTTTTCTTCATTAACTCCTTATTCATTCTCTGCCAGAATGTTGCTTCTGAACTTCACCAGGCCTTAACCAGCCTCCATCCCCAAGTCAACCAGCTCTCCGCTTTACCTAAAATGTGCTTCTCAACCTTTTAGAACCTTGTCCCTTTTGATAAACATGGAAATTTTTTAAGCTTCCTCTTCTCATCCCACTTGGATTCTGAGACAGTTGGAATCATTTAGAATCTTTTTGGCTGCTGGAAACACATAGAAGATAAAGGCTAAATTTTACACTTCAGTTAAGACTGTGTCAATCCTTTTAAGCAATTGTTTTCATTTTCAAAATACAGAATGTTAGTAAATTATGAAAATCAATTTTTCATCTTCATTCAACCTGAAGTGATGATTCCCCCTCCCAAGATTCCCCCTTCCCAAGAACATTGCATACACACACATACACACACACACCCCTCCACTGACCTAAAGCCACACACCTGCCATGACTGGGCAGGCTGTCTCCCAGTATTAACAGAGGAAGAGGAGGGAGGCAGCAACTTTCAGGTAGCACTGATTCTTGGACATACTCTGTCCTGGGTCGAACCCCACTGGCAGCAGGAATTCTGAATGTATTGGGGACCCCTCCTTAGGCTTCGTTGCGTCAAACACAGTACAGCTCACCCAGCATTGCTGAAGACCGAAGATTCAGAAAGAAAACCTACACACAACACTGAGGTCTTAATCATAGCAAAATGTGATAAACCATGTTGTGAAAAACTTTTATACATTGAAGCCATGACCATTTTGTGTCTATCTTACTCTAGCACAAAAATTGGGGGATGTTAAAAGATAGTTGTGTGGAAACTGTAAGGTTCTGTCTGTCGCGTTACTCTCTGTGGAAATGAGAGGGGTCTCCCATTTACACTAAGCAAAGTTCCATTGGTCAGTTTTAATGATGTCTTGAAGCACAATTTAGCTGAGCACTGAGTAGCCATATGCTTTCTCAGTACAAGTGTGTCTGCCTTCAACATGTAGGGTTGATCAAGCTATTACTTAATTGCAAATATCCCTTGTATGAGATTAACTAAAAAAATTTTGCTATGTCTGATCTAAATGTTTGCATTTTGTCCAACTAAATTAATATTTGTAGATTGCAAGTTTTGTTTAAAATAACTTTATTGAGTTTTTAAGTCCTGATCTGTTCTAAGGTGCCTTTCTCACCTCCCATTGATTCAGTGATTCTGAAGTTCTTAATTTGCAAGTAAAATAAGTCTACTAGAGAGGAGGAAATCAGGCACAAAGTGACCAATTCTCATGCCCATTTGCAAAGCAAAACTATAAGGATGATGAAACCTGGGTAACTAAATTAATGGATCATTTCACTAAATCAGATTGAGGAAATATCATAAATATTAACTTGTCTCCCTAGAAGCTGATATTTTTCGCCTTAAATGACATGGTTGTGTTTTTGTAAAAGAAACTTAATCTAATATAATTATGTGCATTTAAGTGAGCAGTTCTAAGTCATGTATGACAATGCAATTGTCTGTTTCCTGAAAACAAATAAATCAGGAACACCATATCCATTTCAAGCTACCATTAAAGTGTAATTTCCTTTGCTCTCTTCTACTGGGATTATTTGTTTTAAAGTAAAACATTAAAAAGATGTCTATAAACAGCTAATGTGACTATTTTTATCTGGAACTAACTAGATGGTTCTGAACTGACTGGACCAAGTCTACCAAACTGACTGTATACAGATTTTGGACTGAAATATAAAAATTATCTTTTTGCAGTGTTACTGAAGAAGTCTTTGGTATTTTGGGAAGGGGGGAGATTTGCATATGCTCCTGGGGTTTTTGTGAGAAATATTAATTTGAAATTGATTATAACTCACATACCACATATTCACGTGAGTTTTGTTTTAACTATAATAAAGGGATTTGCTAAACAACGTTAAGAAATGGGGACCAGGTGGGTGCCCAAATGCTGCAGCCTCTGGCTACTCAGAACTACCATTTTAAGCACCTACCCAGCTCTCCTCACCAGGGAAGGGCTTCTGCTCCCAAAGGACCTTTTTTTCTTCTTCCCTAAAAAAAATCCCATTTTTTCAATTTCACTACCAATTTTGCACTAAGTTCCAAGGGTTAATCCCAGTGGAATTACTTTCAAGGAGATAAATTTTCAAGAGATAAAACTCTGGAATACAAAGCAACAAAGCCCAACAGAGATGTTTTAGAGAGGAGGAAGAATTAGGGAGTGTTATCCTGGAGGGAGGAAGAGGCTTCCCACTATGGCTGTAAAGAGATCAAATAGGTATGTGCCTGTTCTATCAACTTCTAGATGAGGGAAAAGAAAATTGTGTATAGTATATGCTTGCTTGACCAACTTAAAAATGTTAAACCGCTTCCAAACATTTTTGGAAATACTTTAGCAGTACTTCCCACTCCCACCATTTAAAACAAAATATACTTACAACAGTCATTCTGTCCTAACCATTCATGAAAATGGGCTGCCAGATCTTGAAGTAACAACTTTTATCAGTCTAGATTCAACTGCTTCGAGAATCTGGTACAAGTAAAAAGTGTTTCTTTGAAAAAGTTTAAATTTTATCTTACACAGCTTTGAGATTTGAAAACAAAATAGAAATCTAAAAATGTTTTTAAAACAAAAATAGGCCGAGCACAGTAGCTCACGCCTGTAATCCCAGCGCTTTGGGAGGACAAGGTAGTTGGATTCCGTGAGGTCAGGAGTTCGAGACTAGCCTGACCAATATGGTGAAACCCTGCCTCTACTAAAAACACAAAAATTAGCCAGGCATGGTGGTGTGTGCCTATAGTCCCAACTACTCAAGAGGCTGGACATGAGAATTGCTTGAACCCAAGGAGCAGAGGTTGCAGTGAGCCAAGACTGCAGAGATCACGCCACTGCGTGATTTGTTTTTGAAATGTAGCAGAAATCTGCTATATTTCTGTGTAGGTACAGCCTAGGTATCATAATGGAGGAGTGAATATCTCAAACACTGGCGTGAGATTACGAGCACTTAAATAGTAGCTCTACCAGTAGATAGCTTTATGATCTTCAGCAAGTCACTGATTTCTTAGTGCACTGGTTTTCCCATGTAAAATTGAGATAATACTGACTACAGGCGTTTCTGTTTTTGAAATGTAGCAGATACATTACGTGCAAACTGTCGATTTAGGCACTGCCCTGGAACCACAGCACCACAAAACTGGTAAATGGCAAAACTTTCCTGTTCAAATAAATAGGAAGGTCAAAGGTACATTGAAATGATATATTACTCTTTGCCTAGTCACATGATTTACTTCATTTCTGTTACCATGTTGGCGACTATTTTAAGTCCAGTATGCTCTAGGATAGATATCAGGGTTCTAGGGTTTCCATACAGTGTCACAACACCTGCACCTACTTTTAGAACTTTTCACCTGTATGCTTTTTTAGGTTTGTTTTTGTTTTGTTTGTTTGTTTTGTTTGATTGTTTTTGGAGACAGTCTCTCTCTGTCACCCAGGCTGGAGTGTGGTGGTGCAATCTCAGTTCACTGCAACCTCTACCTCCCAGGTTCAAGTAATTCTCATGTCTCGGCTTCCTGAGTAGCTGGGATTACAGGTGTACACCACCATGCCGGGCTAATTTTTTGTGTTTTAGCAGAGATGAGGTTTCACCATGTTGCGCAGGCTGGTCTCAAACTCCTCAGTTCAGAGGATCCACCCGCCTTGGCCTCTAAAAGTGCTAAGATTTACAGGCATGAGCCACCGTGCCCAGCTGCTTTTTTTATCTTTGGTGACACTCATCCGTTTCCATTACTTGCTGCTTCTTCCTTCTCTGTTCCTTTGCCTGCATCACTGTGACTTACTTCCTGTATCACCAATCCCTATCCATTCCTGTGCCCCCCAAGTAACTAGGTACTTACACCCTACCCTTGCTGCAGCTCAGGGTGCCACTCACCCTCACATAAGCCATGACGACATCACACCATGCACACCTCCAACACACAGATGCTTTTCAGAAGTGCTGGCGCTCCTCATCTGAGTCCTTGGCCAGTGCTGCAATGCCCCGTTCCACCCCCCTTACCAGAAATCCCTCTGCTTGCTTGGTGGGAGAGGAGGCAAACCCCACTCCAGGATGGGAACTCCTTGCTCTTTTTTTTTTTTTTTTTTTTTTTGAGACAGGCTGGGGTGCAGTGGCACGATCCCGGCTCACTGCAACCTCAACCTTTTGGGTTCAAGCAATTATCCTGCCTCAGCCTCCCTAGTAGCTGGGATGACAGGTGTGTGCCACCATGCCTGGCTAATTTTGGGGTTTTATTTTTTGTTGTTGTTGTTGTTTTATTTTTCCAAGATAGAGTTTTGCTCTTGTTGCCCAGGCTGGAGTACAATGATGCAATCTCAGCTCACTGCAACTTCCACCTCTTGGGTTCAAGCGATTGTCCTGCCTCAACCTCCTGAGTAGCTGGTATTACAGGCATGCAACACCATGCCCATCTAATTTTTGCATTTTTAGTAGAGACAGGGTTTCACCATGTTGGCCAGGTTGGTCTCAAACTCCTGATCTCAGGTCATCCACCCTCCCGGCCTCCCAAAATGTTGAGATTACAGGTGTAAGCCACCACACCCAGCCTAATTTTTGTATTTTCAATAGAGATGGGTTTTACCATGTTGGTAAGACTGGTCTTGAACTCCTGACCTCAGGTGATCCACCCATCTCAGCCTCCCAAAGTGCTGGGATTACAGGCGTGAGCCACCACACCTGGCCACTCCTTGCCTTTAGGGTAAACTAATTCTTCCACTCTGGGTTCCCAAGCCCTTGGTTGTCACCTGCTGCCCTCTGCTTCCCCATATCTGCAGCATCTCACCCTTTCCCCTCATAAATATGCTTAAGCCTCTCTCCCATGTTACCAACAACTTTC